CATACAATAAAATTGTGTTTTATCTCTCCATCACGTCAGCCGACAGTATCTGAGGAAAGAGAAAAAAGAACAGCTTTATTGTTATAACTAAGTATGACCGACCATACTTAGTTAAAAAGTGATAGCTATAGATAACCTTATCTAAAGTGGCTGTAGAAATACTTTTCCCTATATATATATATATATATATATATATATATATATTACTTCACTTATTTCAAAGCAATACTATTTACATTCATGCTACTCCTCCTCAATTAATTTGCTCAATATTCATAAATTTTTTGTTTTATCTTCATAAGTTGAGATGTTTTCCATTAAAGAATACTTTATTTCCCTATACATTGCTACTAATTAGGGATTATAAACATTACATAATAATTAATCATAAGAAAATTATCTGCAAAATTAATCTTCATTTCAGGGCATTTGCTATAAGATGGCACCAGTGTAGCAATCCACTCACCCAAAAATAAAATAAAAAATAAATAAAAATAAAAATCCATGAGAGGTCGGACACATTTCATAAGAAAATTTGAATAGGAATCTATTTTTCCTCGTTTCCCCACAAAAATTACTATACCCTACAGTTAGGGGAAATAATAAAAGTAACAAAGGAACCACATAAAGGAACGCATACTCGTGTCTCCAACTAGTGCTCCATCTTTTTATGCCTTTTCCCTGTTTGTTTATTTGTCAAACACAAAATGAAAGATGGACCAGTGACCAACCAATCATCTGGTTGCTTGGTCTTCACATGACCCATTTTTTTATTAACCAGACGGCTTCATAAACATTTTCAATCCATCATGAGAGCCTCTCCTACGTGACCACATAACCTTAGGTTGGATATTCTATCATAGTAGTTATTTAAGTTTCATAACTAGTGATAATTTTGAATGATCAAAGGATATAAAGAACAAAAGTATTCACAATGGCGCAAGAAAGTTAATTAAGTGTCTCAACTAGCAAAAGATACTTTACGTATTTATTTAACGAAAAAAGGTTTCTCTGTGACTGAGATGTCAGCCAACCAGAGTCACATAGGACCAAATAAAAAATTGCACTAGGGACTGTTACCAAAAAAATAAAATATACACTAGGGACAGGAAAAGAATAGATCACGGAACTATAATTATAAAACAGTAAAAACTAGAGAGGCATAATACTTTTGATTATCTTGTATTTCATTTTTATTTTAAACAAGTGTTTCTTCTTTCTTGTTCTATTATTTAAAGACATCAAAAACCCAAAACCGAATTTAACTGGAGAACAAAAAAGTGATCCATATTTAATGTCTGAAATGTATTTTTTTGTTTTTGTTTCAAATGCTATCCTAAGCTTTGATTCCTGCACTTCCAGGTTAGGTTCACAGGTGCATCATGCAATGTTTTCTTTCAAAAGAAGGAAGAGCACAACTACCCATCTTTAAATATATCAGAAAAACAAGTGAAATTTACGAATTACGAAGAATAGTTATTGCTGTGAGGTTTAAAGTATACATATGTTCTTGAACAAATAAGATACAAACCAAGAGAGAGAGAATGCAAATTTTTTAACGGGGAAAGACAATGATTCTGTTTAGTCTACTGTTAGGAAGAAAATGAAGGTATCAAGACGAATATTCTCGTATTACCAATATGTGATGCTTTGAATAGAAACCGTTAGAGTATCTAGTTAGTTTTAAGTTTGATTTTAAAATTTATGTGTATGAAAAAAATTATTATTAAGAAGAATGTTAATCATATTTCTAGAAATTAGTCTCTCACTTATCATCTAAGAAAATATTTTAGAAAACTAAAACAGATAAGTTTTAGAATATAAAAGCCGAAATATTGGGTTAATAGATCCTGATTCAGTTAATAAATCACTGGTTGAACTACTTAAAGTTGATATATATATATATATATATATATATATATATATATATATATATATATAAATCGCAAATACATGAATTTACAATATATATTATGTTCATAACATGTTTTCACTTTCTTTTACTTCTTTTCTGAAAAAAAGTAGATAATAAAAGTTAAGGAAATAAGAAAAGGGAAATGATTGTACGTAACCTCATTAGGGTAGATATTTATGATTAAGCGACCTTATATTTATGGGGAATATTAGGAGTGTGAACGAGACAAGTGGTTTAATAGGAGCCTACGATCCAGTCTAAATGAGGTTAGATTCGGTCTATTATACATAATGAAATAGAACAAACTTAGACTTTTAAAAAAACTTATTTAGAAAGCAAAACATAAGATCTTTTATATATATATATATATATATATATATATATATATATATAGGGCCTGTAAGCCTATAGGCTGACCTATATTATATTATTTATTTTAAATAAAATAAAAAAATGGTTATTTTAATTTTTTTTTAAATTGAATACCTAATAAACTTAAATAGGCTAACAAGCTTAAGCCAAGATATTTTATTTTTTAAATATAGATCATACTGTAAAAACCTTGAGGTCACCACCCAAAAAGCTAGCTCAAAGGGTGGGAGTGCCCAAGACCTTATAAACTCCACATTAGTTGCACATACAACCAATATGGGACTATATATCTCAACACGCCCCCTCACACGAGAGCCCATTGGGCCCGAAGAGTGGACAATGCAACAGGCTCAGCCTACCTGTGCTAAGAAACGCCACAAGAGAAAGTGGGGGGCGGCGAGGCTCTGATACCATGTAAAGAACCTTATGGTCACCACCCCAAAAGCTAGCTCAAAGGGTGAGAGTGCCCAAGACCTTATAAACTCCACATTAGTTGCACATACAACCAATATGAGACTATATATCTCAACACATACCATACTTATAATTTGGACCTACATAAGGCTAACAGACGAGGCCAAATCTAAAGTATTTTACACATATCTGACCTATTTAAGGCAACACCTAGTCCAGTACAATCCATTTACACACCAAGGGAATATGCTTTTCATATTGTATAAAACAAAATTATCTCTTGCAATACATAAAAAAGTAGATGGGACCCACTAAAAAAAAGAGAGAAAAAGAAAAAAATGAATCCCACCTATTTTTTTTATGTGTATGAAATAAAATTGTCTGATATAACATGAGAGATATATTTTCCTATTTTATTGATATAAGTTCAGGCAACAATTTTTAGAAAAGGTGGGAAAAAATGCAGGCAGCTTGTGGAGTTTGGTTCCTTTCATTCAGGTCACCATTGTGACTCTCAAGGCTATTGTCCAATTCAAATCCTCACAAATTCATCAAATTGGCATTCCTTTCCAATATGATTGGGAGAAAATTTCTTAAATATCAGCTATTAACAGACTAAGACTAGGACTTTCCTAGAGCAGAATAATAAGAATTTCTTTGCTACTTCCCTTTTTTTTTTTGTTAATTTCATTTCTGTCCTTGAAGTGGTCCTTGATCGTTACACCTCAAGATGCTGATAGTCTTGATTTATACAAACCTAGGGAACCTTAGCGGCTTAGCTTTCAAATTGACCTAATGGGTGTTTATAATTAGCCGAGTTTCCTACTTTCCTTTTCATTAAAAATGTACAGCATCCAAAGGATGTGGACTTCATTATTTTTGTTTTTGGAACACATCCGTGTCAAGCTAGCATTAAATTATCGCTGTAATTAAAATTTTATCGTAAAGTTCATTTTGCTAGGTTAATTGATTAATACAGCCAAATGAACAGAGCACAGATCGATTATGACTTCACTAAAAAGAAAATGCAGAGTCAGGGAAAATTCCAAATATTTAGTTATACCATAGAGATTCTACCGAATAACGTTTCTGATTTTAACGGCACAATTAATAAAGGGATATATTTTTCTTATATTGTAAGAAAAAAACTATTTCTAGTATAAGTGGAATCCACAGGTAAGAGGAGAGAAAAAAAAATAGTGAAACCCAACCCTTCTTTGTGTGTAGGAGAATTATTTATCTCATGTAAAATGAGATAAATATATTCCATTAATAAAATAAAAACCGAACCAACAAAAGCTGGCCACCTTTGTATTATTGTTTTCTTTAATTTTTTTCAAGAATTATCTCGATGATAATAATTTTTTTATACAAAAATAAGAATTGAACACGTAATTTAATACAAAAAAAGTGACAATAATACTTTCTTATTTGTTTTTTTTTATGACAAACACATATCCCTTCGGTAATAATTGTTTAACTATAACCACGCACCAAAACTTTGACTAATAAAGACAAATTAAATGGTTTCGTACTCCCAAAACTCAATACGTTCATTACATGGATGTTTCAATTATCACCACTAAAAATCGACATTTATCTAATTCCCATAATCCCTGTCATTATAATCATTGATATAAACATTATTACTAGCAATAAACCTCCGTCATACTCATCATCAAAATGTGAATAGATTCTCCAATAAATTAAATTGTCCATACTGCTAACATGCATTATTCTTTTGGGGTTAAGAAGTTACAATTTTAACTTAATATTTCTTGGGTTGGGGCAGTGTGAAGAGCTCTTTTTTCACATCATGATTTTCCCCACCTCAGTTATCAATCATGTCCAATGAGTATTCAAGTTGAACACAAACAGCAGTACTCAAAACACAATGAAACCTTGGTACCATGGTTGTATTGTAATTTAATTTCCCAACAATGTTATCTGACGTTAGCGTGATGGCAACCCGCACTAGCTCCATGGATCATGACCACTACTCTCTCCCCCAAGTTCCAAAACCACTTCCATAGTGCCACCTCTCTTCTCTTTAATAAGTTCAGACATTCTTGGCTTCTTCCTTTTCTCTCTCAGACGAGTCTCACCAAACAAAACAAAACAATACAATACAAAAACACATCTCTCTCTCTCTCTCTCTCTCTTTCTCTGACACCCGACACTGTTTCAGAACCCGACAAAAGCAACCTCTGCCTCCTCTCTAGTCCTTTCTCACTCTCCCCAGTGGCTGTCATTGTAATATTCCCTCAAAACCCTTCCTCTTTCTGAAAGCACACACACATACACACACACACACACACATTTGGTTGCATTTTTCTCTTTTTCACTTGAACTCTTCCATTTATTTTCCCTCACAAATGGAAAGACAAGGTAGAGAATGATTAAATAATATCACAGTTCCACAGTCACAGAACGCAGCCTGAAGCTGAATTCGACATCACCTACTTCCCTTTACCTCCAAGCAACGCACAACACACTCACCCCCACTACTATCAGAATCAACATACACACTCTCACCACTCACCACCTTACACAACCCATCAAAATCCCATCTCTCCTACACATTCCACACTTCAAAGTCCTTTCCTTTTTCTATCTCTCACCCTGATTTTCATTCTCCCATCTCAAATGGAGAAGATGATACCTCTCTACAAGCTCGAAGCTCGTGGCTTAGTTTAGAAACTCTGTGAAAAAGGCCTTTGCTTTTTTTCTCTCTCTCTCTCCTAGCTTACTTTCCTTTTCTCTCTCTCTCTACAACTATCTCTGCCGGAGGATGGCATGCCGGAAACTGATCGCCGGGAACTTGGATCCAAAGAGAAAGAGAAGTGGGGGCTTGAGGAAGAAACAAGCGGGAAGAGGATCGTGCCGTGGTAGTTAGGACTTGGAATCCAAACTCGCCGGAAAATGCATGGTCTCAGGCTTTGACCTTTACCCTTTTTTTTGTTTTTGTTCTTGCATGCTTTTGTTCTTCCATTGGGTCTGAGAAAAAGTAAGAAAAATCTCGCGTGGTTTTGTGAGAAGAAAAAAAAAGATGGGTTTTTTGTTGAAAGAAGCTTTGAAGACTCTATGCGGTAGAGATCAGTGGTCTTATGCTGTTTTCTGGAAGATCGGTTGCCAAAATTCCAAGTAAGTGTTAAGGGTGATTCATGCAAAAATACCAAAAGTAAAATGTTTTGTTCTGTTTTTTTTTTTTTTTTTTTTTTTTCTTCTTTTTTTGCAGCTTCTACTTTCTACATGTACCGTGCCTTAGTTTGGTTTCTGAGAAATTCCAAGAAGGCTAGTAGAATGTTTGCGCTTATTTCATCTTGTTTGTGTGTATGTAGCTGTTCTACGCGTGTACTCTTTACTTTCTCAATGATTTTGTGAGCTTGGCGAAAAAGGTAAACTGGGATGGGACTGAAAATTTTGTGTGAAAATTCTGTTCTTCCGAATTCCCGAATCAACTATGATTAAATATTTTATGGTTATACGTTTGCTTTTGATGCTTGTACTTTCTCGGGAACCATACAGGGGGATCTCATACGAAATTCATATTCATATTAGATTCTGTTTCTGAGGTTGATTTGTTTCCAAGATATGATTGACATGTTAGGGTCTTATTCATTGGTCACTGCTTCCTTGTATTTGATTCATATTCTGCTATATACTCGTTCCTACTTTGGAACTTTGTGCTTTGATTGCTTCTGTTTTGTCTTCAAGAATCTTAGTTTTTTTTTTTTCTTTAAAAAATGGGAAGCTTATTTGTAATTGGTTTTCCTTGGCACTACCTATTGGATTGACTGTCTGTGATTCTGTAAATGAATCTGCTGATTCAGAATTTGTCTTTCTCGTTTGATTCTATTCGGCCTTAATCATTGTTTCAGTGATAAAAAGATGACCTTTTTTTCTTCAGCTATTGAGCGGTTAATCTGCTGATCCATCTTTGTGATGCTAACATCTCATCATGATGCGTCACTGCTTACAGCCAGAAATAGATTAAACAAAAACAGCTCTATTTCCTTTCTTTGTTCCTCTCAACCTTCCCCCCCCCCCCCCTTCTTTTTATTGACTGAATATGTGAAGATTGAAATATTATGCTTTTTATTTTCTGCTGATTGCTGCCAAAAATTTCTTTAACTGAGTTATTTGAGTATTGTTTGACATGGCAGGCTATTAATCTGGGAAGAATGCTATTATGAACCCGTGCCATGCCCTTTTCCTCCCCGCAATTTTGGGACATCTAATTTGCCTTACCAGAATGGGGAAGGATGCTGGTTTTCTTCAGAGATTCAAAAGGAGGACAGAGTCTGTTCTCTGATTAACAAAATGACAGTAAATAATTCAGTCATTGTTGCAGGTGAAGGGTAGGTGATTTCTGTTTTATCCTATTTGGCCATTTAATTCAGGTTCCTAAAATAATTTGTGGTATGTTTGCTGCCGTTCCCATATTACTCATGTGCTGTTTTTTGCTGTTATTCAGTATAATTGGACGGGCTGCATTTACTGGCAGCCACCAGTGGATTTTGAACAATTTCACTAACGATGCATGTACACCAGAGGTATGAAGTTGATTATATGCTTCTATGGTGCTATAAGAGTTATGTTCCTGTGAAGAATGTGTTAGGACCCATTTGCAAGGTATGAGACTTGGAGTCCCACATTGGTTGTATGGGCAACTAATGTGGGGTTTATAAGGCCCTGGGCACTCTCACCCTTTGAGCTAACTTTTGGGGTGGTGCATCCCAAGGTCTTATCAAATGGTATCAGAGCCTTCCACTATGTCTCTCGGTTGCAATCGAGCGGCGCGGGTGGTGACGCTAGCGTTGCAGTGTTCGCCCGGGGCTAGTAAAAGACTAGCGCAAAGCTAGCCCGAGTGGGCGCCGGGATTGCGGAGTGTGGTGGAATGTTAGGACCCATTTGCAAAGTATGGGACTTGGAGTCCCACATTGGTTGTATGGGCAAGGGCAACTAATGTGGGGTTTATAAGGCCTCTGACACTCCCACCCTTTGAGCTAGCTTTTGGGGTGGTGCATCCCAAGGTCTTATCAGAATGCATGAACAGTACTGCTGTTTATTATGATTTTTGTGGTTTATCATTAAAAATTGGTGGAAAGGCAAATAAAATTTTGAAAACTTGTGCCTTATCTATGCTCAATAAATTTAATTGGTGTTCTGACTATAATTGTTGTCTCAATAGCTGTATATAAATATATCTTGAAAACTAAATGGTATGTGCCTCTTTTATGCGTTGTGTATATATTTATATATTTTCTGAGAAAGTTTTGAAGACTTGGAGTAAATGAACTTGTTGACTTCATTTTGATTTCTTATATTGGTGCACTCTTTTTAGGTATCTGCTGAAGTGCATCACCAATTTTCAGCTGGAATGCAGGTTTGTGATTTTTATTTTGCTCCGTGTTTTGTTGTAGACACTTTATTACTGTTGCATGATACTGTATTTTATTGGTTTTGCAGACAGTAATAGTTATTCCTGTGCTTCCTCATGGAGTTGTTCAACTTGGTTCTTTCTTGCCGGTAAGTCCTTTTCTTTATTCTGTAATTTTGGAGAGATGTAACATAATATCTCCAATGATTTTTTGCTTGAGCACTGAATTATGGTGAGAAGTCAGAGTATTTCATATTGTAATATATGGATCAAGAGTGAATGCTCCAGGTTAAGCTTAAGCACTTAAAAGTCACATCACCTATGGATCACATATATATATGATCCATTGCATAAATTAAGTATATCCATCCTTGATAGTTGAGACAATGGTGAGTGAGCTCTTTCAGTTATGTAGATCCCTGTTGTATAATTAACTCTAACTCTCTTGATCTAAATGCTACCTGACCTGAGTGATATCCTTCCATGATTCCTTGGTTACAATATGAGTTGGTGATTTATGAATAACTTGGAATGTTAGCCGTTTGAATCCTACTCTAGTTTTGCTGTCTGTTTTGTCATTGAGTTTAGATCTCATGAATGTTATCTTATGTAGCATTGCTAGTTTATATGGCTTTCTCTAGTTTTGAGCTCTCTAGTTTATCTGTCTGCTGTTCCAATATTCATTAACTAAAACAGCAAAACTTAATGGTACAGATAATGGAGAATATGGGATTTGTAAATGATGTGAAGAGCTTGATCTTGCAATTGGGATGTGTCCCTGGTGCCCTTCTATCTGAAGACTATTCAGCAAAACTTTCTACCGAAAGACTTGCTGGACCTGCTACTACTGCTGTGACTGTGTCTATTGATCCACCAGTCCTTACCTCGAATCGCACTCCCTCAGTAACTGATGGCTCCAATCAGCAAAGTAATTCATCTCATCCTTCAAGGCCTATTGTTGAAACACCTTGTCCTCAAAGGGGAGAAATGAATACTTACCAGGGTTTTGCATTGACACCCCAAACCCATAACCTGAACCAGATATCCAATAATCTTTGCCAACCAAAGGTTATTCCAATGAGTAAAACAAGCTTTGCTGACCAGCGAGAGAATAGAGCTTTGGAGGCTGAAGTGATACCTTCAAATCTTGATTCATGCCTGCAACAGCATTCTGTTTCATATAATGCAAGATCTGCATTCAATAACTTATCTGGTTTTGGACATTATGGCCAATCAAGTCTAAAATATATGGATCAACAAATCATATCTTCCATTGGGAGCCAAGATCAAATTAACCCTACTAGTATAAATTCGTCAAACATGTCTCAACTAAAAACAGATGCGGGCCATATACTTGGCCACAATCTGAGTTCTGGCAGTACTTCATTTCTTGGAGGAATCCCAATACATGGCGGGATGAGTAGTCTTTTGAGGACAAATCCACTTACTAGTTCTAGTTCAAAATCTCCCAAAGTATCCACAGCTGATTTATCTGGAGTACGAGAAGTTGGGATTAGATTTCAAAATAATGATTCAACTAAAGCGGGGGATTATTCTCTGGCTAATTTGACTAGTCAATCAGGTGCCTTTCCCATGTCTCTAGAAGGTTCTGATCAGAAGATTCTCCCTGTAGATTTCAAGTGTGCTTTAACAGATCAAAAGATAGACTACAGTTTTCTTCAGGCGCCTAACTTCCCCACTTTTCATGTTGAGGAGCATGTGCCTATTAGTCGTGAAATCCCTGGTTTTTTCCCAGATTGCCTTCATAAAGATGGTACCAGTCAATCTATTATAACAATGAATCTTAAACACAAGCAAGCTTGTGCTCAACCTCCATCAGGTGATGACGACCTGTTCGATGTTCTAGGTGTGGATTTTAAACACAAACTGATGAATGGAAACTGGAATAACCTGCTTGCTGATGACTCAGATGCTAATGCAGAAAATATGGATAAAAAGGCAACAGATATGAATGTTCAGGATACAAATCCTAATTGTTATTCTGTTAATGAAGCAATATCAGACAGTGGCATCTTCTCTGGGATGGGAACAGACCACCTCTTGGATGCTGTGGTCTCAAAGGCCAAATCTATTGCGAAACAGAATTCTGATGACGTGTCTTGCAGGACAACATTGACAAGGAATAGTACCTCCTCTGTTCCCTCTACTACCTGCAGGCAGGTTATGTCTGGTCGTTTCCAAGGGGGATTGTTTGATTTTCCTAAGAATGATTGTAAAACAGGTGCTGTAGACACTAGTTCTCTTAGGTCTGCATGTAGCAAGGATGATGCTGGAAACAGTTCTCAAACTACTTCTATATATGGGTCTCAACTTAGTTCATGGGTTGAGAATGGTGCTAATGTTAAGCGTGAAAATAGTGTTTCAACCGGATACTCAAAGCGGCCGGATGAAGCTTGCAAATCAATTCGTAAAAGGCTCAAACCAGGAGAGAATCCCAGGCCTCGACCTAAAGATCGCCAAATGATTCAAGATCGTGTGAAAGAGTTACGAGAAATCGTTCCAAATGGAGCAAAAGTATGTGAGCTTATATCTCATTCCAGATTGTTTTTAAATTTAAATATAATATTCCGGTAGAGGGCGACTCTTGGAGCAGCTGTAAGGTTGCTCCTTTGTCACTTGAATGGGAAACAGTCTCTTTGCAAAAAATGCAAAGGCCAGACTGCGTACGATTGACTTCGTCCCTACCCTCGCAAAGTCGGAAAGCATTATGCTCCAGGGTTTTGCCCTTTGCACTTTTATTCCGGTACTGAATTTTTTTTTCTTTAATCTCTATTTATGATGTAACAGTGTAGCATAGATGCACTTCTGGAACGCACCATTAAGCATATGCTTTTCTTGCAAAGTGTGACAAAGCATGCTGACAAGCTCAAACAGACTGGGGAGTCTAAGGTATGTGACAGTATTCACTGCTGTGCCTTGTATCTCATGCAGTTGATCTAGTTATGACATGAGAATGTCTTATTTTCATGGGGAACAATAAGCAGAGGAAAACAAATATTTATTAGCATTTTGAGAAGTTCTCGTCTATTTATATGGCAATCAAAACCCTTTATGCAAATAAAAATTTGGTCTGCATCATTTATGCTATGAAAGACCACAAATAAGAATGGGAAGCTGATTTTTTTTTCTTCTTTTTTTGATTTGATTTGAGGAATTGTTAATAAGGAAAAAACTCTGTTCTTTTTTTCCTTAAACATGCAGATTATTAGTAAGGAAGGTGGACTGCTTTTGAAAGACAACTTTGAGGGAGGGGCTACTTGGGCATATGAGGTTGGCTCACAATCAATGGTTTGCCCTATTATAGTTGAGGATCTGAATCCTCCTCGTCAGATGCTAGTGGAGGTAGTGAGGATACTTTATAAATATATAAAGTTCTTATGGTCCTAATATATTTCTTTATAATCTGTTTGCTTGATTATTCTTACAGATGCTTTGTGAAGAGCGAGGTTTCTTTCTGGAAATAGCTGACTTAATCAGAGGATTAGGTTTAACCATCTTGAAGGGGGTAATGGAAGCCCACAATGATAAAATCTGGGCACAGTTTACGGTTGAGGTACTACTACAGAACGGGACATATGTGATCATAAGAAGATAATAAAACTATGTTATAAGTCTCAGCATTTGTAGTTTCCTTCAATACCTAAGCCTTTTTTCAGTATAGGGAAACAAATTGACTGTAGGAGCCTCAAGTCCTGTACCAGAAATTGTCTCTGCATTGATTGGATGATAATACATGTTTCTTGTAGAAAGTTTGTATGCATGCATGATGCTGTCTAGGAGGCATTGAGTATATAAGAATTTTACACCGGTATAGGAATGTAGGATACTTAAAATCATCAATCTCCACATTCTTGGTATGCATATTTTGAAGTTTTTTTTTTTTTTGGTACTTGAATAATTTTTATTATATAAAAATTATTGTAACAAACCTAACGTCCAAACCCCATCCCCCATTGTAAAGGTACTATGTAGTGGACTCTCTGCTCATAAAGAGAAGGTCCCCAGATGATAAGAGAGAGAGAGAGAGAGAGAAATGAAGGCTATCTCACTGATGTATATGATGCTGAGGACTCGGTTTCAAGGATAATACTGGCTTAAGATTTAATCAGTTTGTCAAAGTCAAAAGGTCTCGTACCAATATTGGAAAAGTTTGTTAAATATGAAACTCATATAAAGTGCGTCATCTTCATCCTGTCAACCGTTTTAAAATTTAAATGTTGCAAGAAACTTGCATGCTTTTCTGTATGTTGCTTTTGATGTTATATGCACTTTTAAGGAAAGATCATCATAACGAATCCAATATACTTACTAGTTTAATTTGCAGGCAAACAGGGATGTAACCAGGATGGAAATATTCATGTCACTTGTTCAACTTTTGGAGCAAACAGTGAAGGGTAGTGCATCTTCATCCAATGCAATTGATGACATGATGGTTTATAACTCTTACCCACAGGCTCCCCAGATACCAGCATCTGGAAGGCCTAGTAGTTTGCAATGAACCACATATTATATTGTTTCTTAGTATGGAAGTGTTGAGAGCAAGTATGGTATATGCTTTGCCATGACTAACATCAAATCCAATCTAAGATTTCAAGTGGTTTTAACTTTGTCTAACTGTTTCACATCTCATATATGAAATCATTTTGAAGTGGAACGTGTAGGGTAGTGAAGAGCAGCATATCAAGATTAATATGTATTCTTATATTGTAACTGAATGTTTCCTCCTGTGCCTGCCAACATAATGTAACCTGTGTTGGCATTATCTACTGATCTATTACTGAACTCTTAGATGACTTGCGTCCATTTTTTTGTGTGTTGGTAAGAGTTGCCCAGAAGTTGGTATTGTGACTCAGATCAGATGTATAGATATTGTAGGATATGGAAAGAAAGGGGTTCATGTGCTCATTAGCAAGCTATGCACTTTTTCTTCCCTTACCCTTTTACTCCTGGGTTTTCTTGGGGTGTTGAATTTGAAAGTGTTATAACTAATGGCAGTGTTATAAATGTAAGCTCTGTGTGGTTTGTAAATCAGTGGAATCAATGTCAAATTGTTTTTTTTTTTTTTTTTTTTTTTTTCAGTTCTATATTTAATTTGAAGTCTAGAACTTCGGCCAAGCATTGTTTGAGCTATTGACAAGTGATCTAATATTCTAATGCTGATGCTGTGGAGAAATAAGTGCACACCAAATCATACTTTCTTTTCTCACAAATCGAACGTTCACTAATTCCATCATTGATGATTTCTGACTATTTATCCTGTTAGAAATGCCAGCATAAAGGTACACTGATTTTTTTTTAACACTTTAGGTAAATTTTCATGTTGATAAAATAAAGTGGAATTAGCTACATGACTTCTATTATCTTAAAGTATTTAACAGCATGTGTCGTTTAGATTAAAAGTAGTTTGATTTTTTAAGCATGTGATCCTGCCTGAGTTTGATTTCAGAATTTATGTACACAAAAATTTACACTAGAGTACGATTAAAGTATTTAATTTGTTCATTCCTTTATGTAATTCAAATTCTTCGGTATTTATTCAACCCATGCCACTTATAACTTACTGTTAAAAACCTTGTGACATTTAAGTCCACTCTATCATTGAAATAGTAATACAAACTAAAGATAATCGTGGCGGATCCGTCGTTTATATAAGGAATTTGCCAATCTCTTGCATATTCAGTGACTTTCATTTACGTCGGTGGCTTAATAAAAAATTTAATTTTAGTTATTGACCGGCATAATGGGCCTTAAGGTTATCTAGGCAAATCAACCCAAGTCCATTTATGAGGCTTTTTGATTCCTCTACCCCTTAATTAATAAAAATTTATCATCTTGCCCCTATTTATAAATTATTCAAAAAAAACATAACATTAATTTGCTTCTATTTGACTGTTGACCGCATAGTTACTTGAGTACTGATCCATGTACCCGGGTATATTTCGCGGATTAAAGGCGTTCATACGTACTTTGAGTTTATACCGAGTATAGACCCAGATATCCGGGTATTTAGTTAAATACCCGAGTATTCGTCGGTCAGAAATCCCAATATCAGTGGGTTTCAGCCTCATTTATCATTTATCCGTTTTTTACTCCCAAATCTCTCTCGTTTCTCATCTCTATTCCGAGCCATCAAGATTGTATTTTATCCCACCATCTCAAAAGGCTTTATCTTATGAAATCATTGGCAGTACACCTACATATTCTAATTTTTTCTCGAAAATCCTAACCAAACCTAAACCCTAGACCCAATTTTGTGTCAAAGATGAGTTCAAGTTCAAACACCTAACCAGTAGTTATTTACCACAGTGGGAGGAAATTTGAAGTTCTCAACGGTGTCCGGTTTGAAGGAAAAACAAAAACAATGAAAATCAAAGTGGGCACTACATACAATGAACTCAAGGAGAGAATTCATAAAAAAATTGGGGCTACAAGGCAACCAATGCAATTGCATGATTGCTAGGTTAGAGACTGTAGTTGATATGGATACAATATACTACATTGGTATCGATATCAATGATGATAAAGATGTGGAGTTTGTCACAGATGCATTTGTTGACTAGAAAGTATTAAAATTTATTGAAATATATGTTGAAGTTGATGCTGGTCAGTCTTCATCTTTACCGACGCATACAAGCACTCCACAGTGTTTAGGTCAAGAAGATACAGTTGTCGATTTATTTGCACCTGATCAGGTGTTAAGTCAAATAACATTGGATGAGGGTGAAGAGGATATGAACAACGAAGAGTAAGGAGAACCTGAAAGTGTTATTCCACAAGGTGATTCATCAAATACAGACGTGGAGGGTAATTTTGACGCTGAAACGAATGCGGTAAGCCTGGGTTCCCTGACCATGTCACCACTTCATGTTGACCCAGTTAATAGTGGTAAGTTATTAAATTTCAATTTGTATTGAATATTTAATATTTTTGTTTCTATTGCTTTTAACAAAAATAATCATGCTTTAGATGTAGGGACTGAGATAGAGACATTTTGGAATGTACGCTAGCATTATTCATTAATTAATTAGGCACACCGTAATGACAAGTTGGAGATGATCTATAGTGACGATGACTTGCACGGTGGTTAGAAATTAGGGGATCCATTATTTGTGCAACATGAATTTGGATCCAAATCTGAAATGCAACATGCCATTAAATTACATTGTATGAAAGGACGCAGGACAACCATAGTCGAAAAAAACGACGAGCATAGATTTGTAATGAAGTGTCGAAACCATGCTAACGGTTATCCCTGATATATGAGGGCAATCAAACCCAAGAATGGAAATAATTGGGTGGTTCGTAAGTGGGCCAAGATCACACCTGCCTGAATCAGGTTCTTGCCAGGATCATAAACAGATGGGTCATAGGGGCAGTTAGGACAATATCAATCTCACAGATGTGGGAAGTCAGCTCGCCATGTAGGTAGTGGAGGTTCTGGTAGAAGGCCCTCACCATAACCTCTGTATAATCACTCTTCATCTCGCAAGCACCAGGAGATATGTCTCATCAAGAAGTCTCACAATGTGGAATCCCTCCATGTCGAAAAACGCCGAATCTAGTGATTTTGTCTCACATATTTTGCGGCTCATGAAGGACTTCCTAAACCGATCATTGTTGCAATGTCATTCTCAAATAAATATCCAAATGGCAGCTCAAGAGTCTCTTCGATAGTTTCCTCTGGTTGGGAGGATGATGACCTGTCATGTCGGCGCTTGGACCTTTTTTCCTTGGTCAACAGTCTCTTTGATGCACATTTGTCATCTATTTTTTAAACTTTCAAACCTGAAATAATATAAACCCTATATCAACAACCAAAAACACACAATAACACACAAAAAGAAAACAAAAAATCAGTGTCATAAAATTGGGCAAAAAATGCAAGTTAAAACTTCACATATCAAAACATCAACTTAAAGGAAGGCAAAATTGAATGGAAAAAGCTTAGGATGATAAGGAGATAAATTACCAAGAAAAAAACCCACACAAATTTGAGCTAAAATCGCACAAGAATCAAGTCCCAATCAGCCTCCAAATATCGTGGGTAAACTGCCCAAATCGTGGACGGAACGGTCTGAAATGAGAGGGATTTTGTTCGTGACACTGAGAAGGGTGAAACAACCGGTGGAATTTGCTAGAAAAATGGACGAAATTGAAGGGAAGGTAAGTTAGGGTTTCTCCTATCAGCTGGTATACTCGAGTAAGGTAGGCGAGAAAATGAGGGAGGAGAGGGTTTATTGAAAACCCACTACGCAATATTTACGCGAGTATCCCTATCAATACCTGGGTAAATAATTCAAAGGAAAACCCAAAATGCAAACATTTACCCGGGTATTCGATCCTATACTCGGGTATTTGCTTTTTTTTGGAAATACACTCAAGTATCCGGTCATGTACTCGGGTATTTCACAGGGTCAACGGTCAAACAAGGACAGATAGGTGATATATTTTGGTTAGGGGGCAATATGGTAATTTTTAATTATTAAAGGGTACAATGGTCAAAAAGCCCCATTTATGAAATCTTCAATAAAGGGGAAGTTTTATTTCATAGGCATGTAGTTTGAAAACCCTAGTATCCTTCCTGTCACTGTACACACGTACCACTTTGTCTATTAGCTTCCTCAGTGATTTGTCATAATTTGTTGTCTCCTCCATAGACATTGCAAACTCTAGCTAACAGCAACCTTTGATCCTCCTAGATCAAATGGACTTAATATTTTTATACGTGTATAAATTCATTCTTCCCAAATATTATTATTGAGGGTTAGAAGTGTACACTGTTATGATGACCAATAGTGGAGTGAGGGAGTGGCTAGCGAGGACGATTATCCCCTTCAAATTTATACAAACCATTATTTCTTATTTTTTGATCATATATTTGAAACTCTATTCCCTTTTTAATTGTAAGTATATTTTTATTTTTTATTACATAAATAATTGTAATTTAAAAAAAATTATAATTTAACCCACTTCAAAAAATTTCTTGATTCCGCATGACAGAGTAATATTGTAACTATTTTTTTTTTTTTTGATATAGGAAAGGGGCATAGTCCAACCAACAACATAAAAGAAAAACAACAAAAAACTAAACTGACAAAGAAAACTCAATCAGAGGTCCTTTCAGCTGGTAGAGAAGAAGAATCCTCGGTATCTAGCAAGAATAACCTCTGGAGATCAAACGGAGGAGGGTAGTAGAATAAGATGCCTTGAGGCTTAGAAAGAAAACTTTGGGCAAGCCAACCAGCACATCTGTTGCAATCTCTGTTAGCAAAAGAAAGAATAGCTTTTTATAAGACCATCACAAACTGCCTTGTTACTTGGGACAGCTCCATCCACGTTGAATTTCATCCAATCCGAAGGAGGCCTCAACCAATGGGTCAAAATTATGATTCAACTAAAGCGGGGGATTATTCTCTGGGCTAATTTGACTAGTCAATCAGGTGCCTTTCCCATGTCTCTAGAAGGTTCTGATCAGAAGATTCTCCCTCTAGATTTCAAGTGTGCTTTAACAGATCAAAAGATAGACTACAGTTTTCTTAAGGCTCAACCCCAGCACATCTGTTGCAACCAATGGGTCAGAATAGTTTTTAGAGTAATATTGTAACTTTGCACAAACATATATAAGTGGCGGACTTCGGTGGACGTAAAATTCCCTGTTTTAAGCGAAAAAAAAAAAAAAACTCCCTGTTTTTATTGGGTCGCTAAGAGTGGGGTGTGCCCCATTATACGCCAAGAAATCTATTTTACGTGTCTCTTCCATTTTGTGGAGATATTTAACTAATTAAAAAAAAAACAACAACAACAACTTACCAGCGGCTTATCAAATGGTTAAAACTAAGCAAGGGGGAGTGCTTATTAAATATGGAAAAAGTGTGTATCATTTTAAATGATGTAAAGTTATGTCATCTTAAGCGTAAGAAATAAATAGATAAAAAAGAAGAGAGTGAGAACAAAAAAATATAAATGTGTGGATCCAAGGGTATAAATAGGTTAGGCTAGACTAGGCTTTGGCTTAAATAGGTCAGGTCTATGTAAGAAACATTGGATATGGCCTGACTTATTAGCCTGTGTATGTCCCAAATTATAAATCTGACCTAACATGTATTTAAAAAATAAAAGCTTTAGCCTAGGCCTGTTAGCCTGTTTAAGCCTATCAAACATTCAACAATTAAAAGAATAACTAAAATAATAAACTATTAAAATATAATAAAAAATATTATATTTTAAATAAATAAAATGATATAGGCGATCTGTAGACTTATAGGCTCAACATGTACAAAAAAGCTTATGGTCTATTTTTTAAATAGATTTTTTTAAAAGTCTAACCTTATATGTATCTAATCTCTTTATGAGAGTGAAAGACTATAAGTGATGTCATTTTAAAAGTAGAAACATTTTACTCATTAAATATTTAGTCTTACCTTTAATCTGCACTCATCAATCAGTCATACAACCCGAGTTGCGCGAATCATTAAACCTTGCGATGAATGTCAAATATCGAAAGGCCAAGATCAGTAGTAAAGCATAAAAATATTAGGAGAAAGACAGCTGTAAACGTGTAGTCTCCAATCAAGGAGAATAATACTTGTCCCTATGACTTTGTCACGCATTTGGCAGGTTCATACGAGGGAATGTAACTTGAATGATTTTACATAAAAACTTATCATTCTTCAAGCTGCTTGAGACAATGTTATCTCCAGTTATTAAATTATAACTGTATAAAGATAGATCAATGATAATAAAGAAAGAGAGAAAAAAAAGAATCATAATCATTCAAAGGTAAATCAATTAATATAAAGAAATAAATAAACAAAACGACGTAATTTTGGAATGATCGGAGATAATATTGTCTCAAGCAACTTGAGAAATGTTTTTCCCTTTATAAAAAGAAGTTATTATAAAGTACGTGTGTTCTTAAATTAAGAAATGAAACTTATATTTATTCTTAAATATTTAAGGATTAAGAACTAAATACATTTTAATTCATATTTAAAACAAACTCAGTCTAAATTATAGAATGTGTCCCTATATGACATAATGAAAAAACTCAATATATAAATAAATGAAGAAATATTTCTGTTTTGATGTAGAAAACATTGTTCTGTCACATTCATATAAAGGTGAGTGAATTTTATTTTAAAGAGAAGAGAGAGAAATATTAATGAGATCTCCTCATTTTTATGTGAGTGTGACAGAAAAATATTTTTTACAGCAAATTTTTTTTTTAATAATTAAAGCAGAAATATTAAGTTCATAAATAAAAAACCCCAAAAAGTAGTTTTTAGAGTCTGTTTCACACAATTTTTTTAAGTTACAAATTTAATTTTTTTGGTAAGCAAGTTAAAAATTACTTTAAGGATGTGCATGACATCTTTCCCAGAATCAAATTTTTTTTTTAATTTCTGCTACCGGGAACAGAAATGGATAGAAAACTCGTTTGGTAAAATCGGTTTATTTTTTTTGTTCTCAGGATGAACCGATTTAATTTTTGTTCTGGGGAATAAAAAAAATTATCAAATAATTTCTGTTTTTTTTGCTCCCGGGCACAAAATGAGAAACACTTGTCTCTCTTAATCACTTTCCACAACTACTATCACCACAACCACCATCACCATCACCATCCCGACACGACCACCGCCACCATTGCCGCTGCCGTCGTCGTACCACCACTGCCATCGTCACCACCACCACCCACCGCCACCACCACTGCCATCATTGTTATCAACCACCACCATATCATCGCAGCCATCACCACCACTACCATCACCATGCCGCTGCCACCACTACCACCACCGTCACCAACCACCACTACCATCGCCACCGTCACTACCACCGTTACCAACCACCATTGCTATCGTCCCAGCCACTATCGTCACCACCACCATGCTATCACCGCCACCATCGCCATTGTCATTATCATGCCATCGCTACCACCACCACATCACAACCATTGCCACCATCACCACTATCACGCCACCATCACATATGAAAGGAAAGTGATGATTCGAAAAAAATTTATGCTTAATAGGAATAATTTTTTATTATATTATTTGTTGTGTTATCAAACGCAATTATCTATCTCGGAATAAAAAAGTACATGTTATCAAACACATTTTGTTTCTCAGAAACTGTTCCAAGGCACAGAAATAGAAAAGAATTATTTTTTTTCAGAAACAATGTCGGAGAACAGAATGGTTGTCATGCACACCCTAAATCTAAAGTTAAAAAAATTAAAAAATAAAGTTAAAAGTTATTTGGTGAGATTAAATAATGTTATTAGGATAAATTATTAGGGTAAAGGATAAAATTTATAAATATAAATTTAAAATAAGGTTAAAATTATAAAATAAATATAAGAATTTCAAAAAGCTGATATAGATCTTAAAAGAGCTTTTAGCTTTTTCTTTTATTATAAAAGAAGGTTTTTTTTATAATAAGAGCTTTTATACAATTATATATGGTTAACCTTTTACTTTTAAAGAAAAGAGAAATTAAAAAAAAAAGACATATCAAACGTACACTTAGTAGTAGAAGGATATATATTTAAAAAAAATCGAACTTTCACAAATACCACTTAAATTAAAAAAATCTATAGACGAGGCATATCCATATGTTACAGTAATATACATTATTAATCAATTATAAAACATAATTAGTTACTTAATCATAAATTTACTAATTATTTATTCAAGCAATTTATAATAATTATTCATCTAATTGCACCAATTACCTCTTTATGCTATATTACCATCATATAATCACCCTGTATCATGTATTTGATTACCAAAACCATGGAATTGAGTAAAATGTTTACAACAGAAGACGGTGTACTCAAAAGTAGTACATTGCTAGTTTGCTCTACGATGGAATTATCATCAGGTGCAGTTGAAAATAAACTGCACAAGTTATAATTTTGAAATTAAAGGGTTCATAAAAAAATAAATAAATAAACTTCTATATTCAATTGCAATTATTTTAATATTGTAGATACCCCATTACGATATGACATAATGTTGGAAATTTGCTGCAGAAATTCCACATGAAGCGATGCACTCCCAAAAATTATAGTAACATATTCGTTTTCAAACCAGGTGGCATGCCGTTGTATGTTACTACCGCACTACTAAAAAGCCAACTAAGGCACTTTGGAGTTGGCAAAACAGTCTCCACTTGGTCGATCAACTCGTCCCATCCATTAAAAGGGGTAATGTGGGTTGAGTTTTTCAACTCATCTCATAAGTGGAGTTGATTCATTTTTTGACGGGTTGATGGTGAGGGAGACAGATCAGTATAAAAAAGGCTCGGGCTAGCAGGTCAACATGTAAAGAACCAATACAACCCAAAAGCTTAAGCTGTCGGGTGAGGTTGATTTTATATATCTCAACACACGCCCCTCACACGAGAGTCCACTGGGCTTGAAGGATGGACAATGCACATGCCCACCTACCTATGTGAAGAAAGAAATTCCACTAGAAACCTGTCTAACCCACCAAACAAGGCGGGGCGAGCTGAATTTTTTGGCCCATTGCAGGAATTCATTTATGGTAGGATCCGGCGGGGAGTCTATTTTGCCGCCTCTACTTTAGGTATAGAATACTAAAGAAGCACTTCACTTTTTAGCCTGAAGAAGGTTTCATCATGGAACCTAAGTATATAGCTTGAAAAATCAAAACTCGCTACGTCTCCCAATTATTGTCAATGTAAGTTCACAAGTTCGAACAACTAAAGTTGCCGCAAGAAACAGCAGAATAGGCGATTGGAGACACCCCTAGGAAACATCAAATTTATTAATGGGAATTAGTAATAAAGAAGTCAAGTGTTTTGTCATTCTCAGGTTGTGTGCTTTACTCTATTATAAATAGGATATGGATCCCAATGAGCGTTTATAGCTATCAAGAGTAGAGACTTCAAGACATTGCTAGTACTTACAAAGCAACAAAAGCAAATTTTTTTATAATCTCCAATCGGGGTTCTACAATTTTAACTGCTGTTGCTGGAAATGGCATCTGAAGCAAATCGAAACAGTGAAGGCATAGCTGCTGCCTGTGTCACCAAGGTAATGGACGTGATGTTGCAGCTGAAGAAACTGGGAGAAGAAGATCCCAGAAGGGTCATTCATTCTTTTAAAGTAGCACTTGCCATCACTTTAGTTTCTGCATTTTACTATTTTAAGCCTCTTTACGATGGTTTTGGTTCCTCTGCAATGTGGGCAGTTTTTACTGTCATCGTTGTCTCGGAATTCTCTGTAGGCAAGTTCCTTTATTTTTCTTTCAACACAAAATTTATCATTAAACAAGAATATAGAATGTGCACTTGATTTTTTGTTAACGTGCAATTTGATTGTGTGACACATGCAGGAGCAACGCTAGGAAAAGGTTTAAATAGAGGTTTAGCAACATTTTTGGCTGGTGCTCTCGGGCTTGGATCTTATTATATTGTCAAATCAATTTCAACAGGAGATGTAGTGGAACCGTTACTTCTTGGATTCATAATTTTTCTACTAAGTAATGTTTACTTGTCCACTTGAATTTCACTAGTAGGAAATAACTATAAAGCTAACCAACAATGCAAATATTTGAATGATTGCAGCTGCAGGAGCAACATATATTCGATTTTTACCACGAATGAAGGCAAGATATGATTACGGGTTGCTCGTGTTTATCTTGACATTCTGTTTGGTATCTGTATCAAGTTACAGAGACAGTGAGATACTAGACATTGCACAGAAAAGGGTAACCACAATCCTCGCAGGTGGTCTAATTTCTGTGTTGGTCTGCATTTTTGTGTACCCCATATGGGCCGGTGGTGATCTTCACAATTTAGTATCAAAAAATATTGAAAAACTTGGAAACTTTTTAGAAGGTACATACCAACCAATTTCGTAAATTTGATGGACTTTAGGAGCATTCTTTTGGAGTTATGTATGCAATAGCTCCAATTTTGTATAATTGTCGAAATTGACAATGCATAGCAAATTGCAGGTTTTGGAGAGGAGTATTTCGGAATATCAGAGGGTGGAGAATCAAATAAATCGTTTATGCAAGCATATAAAAGTGTTCTTAATACAAAACAAGTTGAAGAAAACTTGGTTAGTTGAAGAAACCAAAATTATGTTCTAGACTCCTAATCACAATGTCCTGCTTATTAATTCAGTCATTCATATCTTTTTTAGGCCAATTTTGCAAGGTGGGAGCCCTGCCATGGTCCATTCAGATTTCGTCATCCTTGGCAACAATATCTAAAGATTGGAAATCTATCAAGGCAGTGTGCTTATCGTATTGATGCCCTTAATGGCTTCCTTAAATCCACTAAGGTACTTGTCAGAGATATATAAGAATCATTAATGTAGCTTCACTCAATATCTTAAGTTTTTGAATTGAATTAGTTCTTTACGTAGTAATTGGACTCTCATTTTATTGTGTAACTCAGTATGTTTGGTTAAATGGCTTAATTTTCTTATGTTTAACTCACAGACACCATCAGAAATCAGAAGCAAAATACAAGAGCCATGCATCAAGATGACCACGGAAACAGGAAAGGCTTTAAAGGAATTAGCTATGGCAATTCAAAAAATGATTCCACCTTCTGCTGCAGACACTCACATTGCGAAATCTAATATTGCAGCCATGAGCCTCAGGTCCATGACAAAAACAGGATTGTGGAAAGACACCAATATCTTTGAGGCTATTCCTGTTGTGACTGTGGCTTCTCTGCTGCTTGATGTGGTTTCTTGCACAGAGATGCTACGAGAGTCAATACAAGAACTATCCATCATTGCAAAATTTAAGAACAAGGACAGTAAAATTGCAACAGAGCAACCAAATAGTCCTCATCAGGAGGAAGCTACGCAACCACGTTGTTCTGACAACATTGGACCTTATCATGTTATTACAATCAACCAGCCTCCTACAAACTTGTCACAAAATGTCAATTCCTAACTGCTTACATTTTATGGACTTATTTATAAGGGGAAAGATCCGTTTATAAATTTTTATAAATTATACTATCTTCTCTCAGGAGAACATAGTGTAACCTAATGTTCTCGCAAGAGAAGATAGTGTAATTTGTAAACAAAAAAATTTCTGCCTCTATTTATAATATAATCATTTAGTTAAGTGTAAGTTAGTAATATAAACCCAAAATCAGGGATTCTCGTAAAAATATGATCAATTTTTACACACAAAAAACTGTTACTTTCTTGTCTTACGTAGTGGTTCTTTCTTAAGCCGTCTCACGGTTTGGAAGAGAATTATGGAAAACAATACAAGAATATTTTAGTTCATTCTCATCAATACCTCATATCACTAAATAAGAACAGTTGGAATTTCAAAATTAATCTGTTGAACATTGTCCTCAATCAAGCAGTATGTGTGTCATTTTTCTTTCCAAACAAAAAATTTATGGACATATTAAAAAAGAGCTTTCAGTTTCTTCTTTCACAAGAAAACTCTAAATTTCCTGTAGAGAGAAAGTGTGGGTCCATCACTATTTAAAAAAAAAAAACATGGCACATTTTTCGGGGAGTCAGCGATCGAAGAAATCACTTCTTCCTTCCGAGCTTTGTTTACTATGGTTTGGGAGCAAGTGCTCTTTTTCTAAATATATGAGTAAAAAAGGATTGAGAGAAAATTTGAAAAGAAAAAAAAGAGTATAAATAAGATAAAATTTTACATTTTTTAAAAAAGGACCACAAAACAATAACATGGTCCTGATGCAAAATAAAAAAATCCCTTCCTATAAGATGAGAAGTGATTTTCGCATTAAAAAATATACAAGGATTTATATAAATTATTATTTGGAGAATATTATTTATGTAAAAAGTATTTTTTCAGTCACTGGAGATAAAATATCTTCAATGAGCCCAAAACGACGTTGTTTTGGGTTGTAAGATTAAAAAATTATAATAATAAAGACTAATATAACCTTGCAATAAATTAGAATTATAAAAATACCTTGATTTTTGTCCCAAAACAACGTCATTTTGGGCTCACCGGAGATAATTTATCTCTATTGATTGGAGAAATACTTTACCCATTGTTTATATCAAATTATTAATGAGAAAAGTACTTCTTTAAATGAGATAAAACTATCTCCTACAATCCAAAATAACATTGTTTTGAGATTTAGAATAAAAAATAAATGATATTTTAGAAATTTTAATTTCCTATTATAACATATATTTTACTAAAATATCCTTTACTTTTTATTCTAAATTTCAAAATGATATCATTTTGAGATTGTTATAATAAGAGAAACATTAATCTCATTATTAATAGGTAATAACTTTTTATTATAAATTATAAACTTGTGACACGTCATAGCCAGAAAATTTGACGAGAGGTGGGCAAAAGAAGCAAAATTCATACTAAATTAGGTATCATAACAATCAACCAGGTTCGAAAAACTCTCCGAGTTTTACACACACATGAGTAGTAATAAGGATGAAATCTTATTTACCAAGGATGAAATCTCGAATGTTAAGGAGGCAAATGAATGATGGATGTGGGTCCGATAGAGATTTATTTTATTTTTTGGATAAATTAAGGATATTTTCTACAGAAGGCAAATTATTGGAGCAAGGAACACCTATATTATGGTGGAATTAGCTCTTCCAAAACAGACTTTTTGCATTTACAAATACTTGAACCAAAGACTTTGTTGAAGGGAAATCAAACTTATATCATACTAAATAGAGTTGAAATCCATTTTATTGGATTTTCGATAAATTATATAAAATATAAATAAATAAATAATAAACACAGAGGATATACGAGGCATTTCTTATCAATTCTACTCGTGGAATAGGAAAAAATATTTGTTATTTTAAATGACACAAAGTTATGTCATTTTTAATGAAACTACTGTTTTGGTGTGTTTTAACATTCTCTCTCATCCATTTTCTTTTTATTTCTAATTTTATAAATTAGAAAAAATGACAAAACACACTAAAACGACGTAGTTTCATTAAAAAGGACACAAAATTATGTCATTTAAAATGACAAACACTAAACCCTTATGAATATTACTTGCCAAATGACTTACCTTTAAAGGGAGAAATTATTTTATGTCTGAAAATCACGATTAACCTAAATATGTTGGGAAAATTAGGCTGCGCATGACAATCATTCTGATTCCTGGCACTGTTTTTGAAAAGAAATGATTTTTTTCTATTTCTATGCCTTGGAACAATTCTGAGAATCAGAATTACGCTTGTTAACATATTTTATTTTTATTCCGAGAATCAGAATTACATTTGATAACACAATAAAAATCTATTTATTTACTTTTGTTTATAGATTTTATCAACTGTATAAAATAGCAAATGACAACAAATTTAACCGAAATGCCAAATTTTATATTTAACAAAATTATATAAAAATATATAATATTTTATTATATATTTTTTTTACGACAAATGCTAATATATAGTTTTAACTATTATTTTTCAATCATCTTCACAATTCAAATTTTTTTTGTTTCTCATGTTTCCGGCCACAGCGTGAAGTTTTAAGATATCCCCTAACATAATTGCGTTCAATCAGACACTAGCAATTCAAAACCGAATTTGATAATTGATAGATATAAGAAGTATATGTTTCATGCAGCTCTTATCGAATTGGTTTAGCAGAGATTGCTTTTTGAAAGATACATGTAGAACTTTACCTCTTGTGGGACTGTTACTGAAGTTGAAGTTTATTTCCTCTATATTTGTGACACCAGTTTTTTTTGTTTTTTTATTAAGGTTAAAAAAGTTATATAAGGTTTGTGTGTGATCCCTCGAGCAATCAGAAAACCAGCCATACCCCCACAGTCACAATGCATAAAATTAACAATTCACAAACTCAATTGCAGAAGAATTCAACCACAACGCAAAAGCACCTATTCGGAAATTCAAGAGCCCTAACCCCAATTTAAAAAATCCCAAAAATTTGCAATTTCAAGTTAACCACAATAGCAAGGGAAAGAGAGAGGGAAGGAGACGAATTGCAAGTGGGAACGCGAATTGCAAGTTAACCCAAAAATTTGCAATTTCAAGTTAACCACAATTTCAAGTTAACCCAATTGCAAGTGGGAACGCAAAAGAGAGTGGGAAGGAGACGAAGAACTTTCGCGGTGTAGGAGGGTGGTGGTATGGTGATATGTTGAAAGCCGGTGATGGTTTGGTGTTGGTGTGTGAGGAGTACGAAGAAGCGAGAGAGAGAGAGAGAGAGAGCGAGGGAAAACTGATTCTATTTTTGCGCCAGGAATGAGAAAAGCAGAAATTTTTTAATTTTGTTTTTGTTCCCCAGCACAAAAATTAAACCGGTATTAACAAATGAGTTTCTCATCTATTTTTATTCCCAGGAATAGAAATTAAAAAAAAAAAAAAAACTCATTCCGGGAAGGTTGTCATGCATACCCTTAATTTCTCAAGAATGTGACCAAAAAGTTATTTAATAGGTTAAAATATTACTAAGAATGTTAGCTCTATTTTATTAATTTTATATTTGGTTGATTGGCATATTACTGAGAATGTGAAGTGATTTTACAAAAATAACCTCACCTAAGGATAATTTTGACCCAAAAAAGTTGAAAAATATTCCCATCAGGTGAGAATCCGAAAATACCATCCACCTAGTGGTATTCTTTTATGAGAATTTGCTTCATAAATTAGAATCTCGGGAATCTAATTTTTTCGAAAAAAATTTCATAATCTTTATACCAAATATGAGTAAATAGGATTCATTTCAAAAATTTGATATTTATCCATCTACCAAATGTGCTATAAGAAACAATATTTTGATTATATAATAGAATGAACAAAAAGTTTAGTCAAAAACAAATGACAAATTTAATTTTTTAAAGGGAGGATAAACAAGGTTGTCATGTCAAATTCAAATTCTCCGAAAGCTTGCAAACTTCAAAAACCATTCAATTGTTCAAAGAAACAAAAAGTCGTAAAGAAAAAAAAAAATATCACAAAGACATTTTGCCGTCATGTTATATTTCTACGCGGAAATCGTGTTTCTGGCATTTGCAGACAAATGATAACTTGTAGCCATAACACTGGCGCTAAGAATATATAAACAATTCATTAAATATATAATATGACCTTCATACGTTCGTGTTCATGGTAATTTTTGTGCTGCATTTCGGATGACTATCTTTTTGATAAAATAGGCTATAGGGGTAATTCAATAAGTTACAACTCCATCATCAAATGATGGAAGTTCAATTGGCGTCAAGAAATTAAGCAAGTAAGAATGAGAGTATATGTTAAATTCTTTTCAGTATCATCTTTGGAAGAGATTTAAAGCTTTAATCCTGATACACATCCCAAATTAGACTAGTCACGAAGTGATGAACCGATTGAAATATCTCAAAAAAAAAAAAAAAACGCCGTACGAAGAAGTGTTTTAAGCCAAGCTAAAAGCAATAGACTAATTAAGCACAAGAACGGAGAACATTAGTTATGTATGCCGCTAGAATAAAATTGAATGTAAGAGAACACAACATAGGAATGCTAAACTAAGTGAACAATCACTGAATCAATAGGTGCTTAAATAATATTTAAAAAAATTCTGCTCCTCATTTGAATCATTTTTCTGCTTTATGAGCGTGAAAGTGTAATACAAGTTAATGTTGCTCAATTAATTGTTGAGGTAATTAGGGGATAGACACTAGTGTAGCCCATATTCTGTAGCAGGCCTAGACGACATGGGCTCGACCCAAGAGGAGAAGCATCAAGCCCGGTTATTTGTTGAATTATTTAATTGAGCTATTAAGGTTGTGTGACAACGTGTTTCCTTTTCTTTTAATATTAACTAGGGTTGGCAAAACGGGTCAATCCGACTCGACCCGACATAACTTGCATTCAACTCGAAAAAAATGATCTGGGTTAGGGTTGGCTCGAAAAAAAAAATGAGCCAGAAAACTCAACCCAACCCGACCCGAGTCG